AGAAACCCGGGGTCGGTTCCCGCTAATAGCATGTATCTTGGCTGCAGTTTATCCCTGGCCCTGGTTGGTCATGCGGGTGGCAACCACTCGATGTGTCCCTTTCACATCGATGTTTCTCTCTCTCTCCCTCCCTCCCACTCTATCTGAACAAAATACTGGAAAAAAAAAAGTCCTCCGGTGAGGATTGAAAAATAAATAAATAAACTTGTTATTTATTTTACCCAAATCAGGAGGAAAGTAATTAATTGTTTGGCTATAAGTTGATGAGCTGAAAGTGATATCTATTAACTTACAATTTGGCCATAAGAAATTAAACTTTAAGGAAAAACAGACCTACAAAATTATTTACTTTTGCATATTGGAGTGCTAAAATGCACTTAAGAAATTTGAGGAAAAATGAAAAATGATGTTAAATTGGAATAACAACCAAAATGGTAGCAAAATAATTTCTTTGTCATTATGTATAAATGGATTGACTGTATATAAAATATTTGAGAAGGGGCCTAGGGCAATTTATTCTTTTTTCCCTTACCATTGCTTTCTTTTCTTTCTTTTTTTTTTTTTATCCTCACCCGAGGACATTTTTCCATTGTTTGTTCAGATAGAGTGGGAGGGAGAGAGAGAGAGAGAAACATTCATGTGAAAGGGACACATCGAGTGGCTGCCACCCGTACGACCAACGAGGGCCGGGGACAAACTGCAACCGAGGTACATGCCCTTAGCGGGAACCGAACTCGGGACTCTCTGGTCCAAGAGCCAATGCTCTAACCGCTGAGCCAAACTGGCCAGGGCACCATTGCTTTCTTTTCTATTTACTTTTGCCTCTTAACCGTCTCTGAGTAAATCTGAGCCCTGGGACTTCCTCAGGGCTCCAAATGCTGTTGGGGAATGTCACCTTTATTTATTTATTTATTTATTTATTTATTTATTTATTTATTTATTTATTTTTCTCCCCCGAGGACATTTTTGCATTTACCTTCAGATAGAGTGGGAGGGAGAGAGGGAGGTAGAGGGGTGGGGGCAACCGAGGTACCTGCCCTTAGTGGGAACCGAACCTGGAACTCTCCGGTCTGAAGACCAAGGCTCTAACCGCTGAGCAAACGGTCTAGAGCAGGAATGTCACCTTTATTTATTTATTTTTTCTTTTTTTATCCTCACCCTAGGACATTTTCCCATTTTTTGTTCAGATAGAGTGGGAGGGAGAGAAGAAGAGAGAGAGAGAGAGAGAGCCCTTAGCAGAAACCGACCCCGGGTCTCTCTGGACCACAGGCTGATGCTCTAACCGCTGAGCAAAACTGGCCAGGGCGGGAATATCACCTTTAAATGACCAGGATAATCATGTTTACAGGTTTACCAGACTCTTTGGTTTCCAATATTTAAGGACAAGTACTCTTGTGATGTTAAATACTTTCTTCTTCATATATATAATAGAGAAGACTGAGAGCAGAGCATTGGTTTGTAAATTTAAACATTTCTGCCCACCCTTTCATTTAGAAATTTCCATTCAAAGATTAAACTCTGGAGCTCTTTAATAAAATTACCTTAAACAGAAGGAAAAAATTATGTAAACAATTGATCTTGCTTTTGATTTGTGTAACATGATTACCCACACCCTCCCCAGAAAATTCTTTTTCTTGTCCAGAAACTATTTTTTCGTTTGTCTCTCTTTCCTGTTTTAAAACAAAGTTGTTTGCATTTTTGGTGTAATGCACACCTCTGAATGTTTGGATAGTATTTTTGTGATTGGTTTGCAGCCTTTAAAGGCTAAAGTCCAGCCCAGCCCAGTTGGTGTGGCTCACTGGTTGAACGTCCACTCATGCACCCACAGATCATTGGTTTGATTCCTGGTCAGGGCACTTGCCCAAGTTGTGGGCCAAATCCCTAGTGGGGGACATGCAGGAGGCGGCCAATCGATGTTCTCTTGCATTGATGTTTCTCTCCCTCTCCCTTCCTCTATTTCTAAAGTCAATAAATAAATAAATAAATAAATAAATAAATAAATAAATAAATAAATAACCCTGGCCGGTTTGGCTCAACGGTTAGAGTGTCTGCCCGCGGACCAGAGAGACCTGGGTTCAGTTCCCACCAGGGGCATGTACCTCAGTTGCAGTTTGTCCCCTGTCCCGGTTGGAGTCATGAGGGTGGCAGCCAGTCAATATGTCTCTCCCATATTGATGTTTCTTTCTCTTTCTCATCCTCCCTCTCTCCCTCCTGCTCTATCTGAAGATAAGTGCAAAAATGTCCTCTAGTGAGGATAAAAATAATAAAAAATAAACAAAATAAAAAAGGCTAAAGGCCACACTGATAAGGAATTTTATTTAAATATTTGGTTTTATTTAAATATTGATGCTTAAGATTTTTGAGAAATATAAAATTTTACCCATATAACCATAATTTGTTTTTTAAAAACAATACAAATGCTGGTGGTACATTTGGATTAAAAATTATAGGATTTGGGTAGCTTTTAAATGTACTTTCCATTTCAAAGACCAAGATTTTTTTTCTCAAGTAAATAATTATTTGATTTTTTTTTTCACCCAGAGGCAATTTTTTGTTTGTTTGTTTAATTTTAAGATATAGTGCACATGAAATTTCATGGACTTCTTTCTTTCTTTCATTTAATCCTTAAGCATCTTTTAAATGGCTGGCTGGATGTGCTGAGACTTGTTAATCATGTCCCAAGTTCTGAACATTTAAAATGCTCCCACAATTTTTCAAGAGAGTGAACATGTGGATGATTATCATTTTCCAAATGGAATTTTTTTATAAATTGATACTGTCACCCAGAAAAATGTTTGTTTCAACTCTTCTCTCCATGAAGATGTCATTCTTTGATATTCCACTAGGTATAAAAGTATCCAATTGTTTTTAATCATCTTTATTTAATTATTTTAAAATATATATTTGTATCGATTTTTTTAAGAGAGAAAGGAAGGGAGAGATAGAAACATTGATCTGCTGCCTCCTGCACACCGCCTACTTGGGATTGAGCCTGAAACCCGGGTATGTGCCCTGGGAATCGAACCAGGACCTCTCAGTCCATGGGATGATGCTCAATCCACTGAGCCACACTGGCCAGGCTTAATCTTCTTCAATTACTACACATTGTACCAAATAATTGCAGCCCTTTCTCTAAATTATCCGTGTCCTCTGGCCATTGATATATATTGAAGCTGTCTTTTGTTTTACTTGGTTAGGGCCTATGGATTTTAGGTAACCCAAATCTGAGGCCCTGAGCCATGAAACAAAATGTCACAGAATGTAAATCAATTTACAGTTTGACTTAACAGAAAGTAAGAAAAGGTGATAGTTTAAGCTCTAGCGGGGTAGCTCAGTTGGTTACAGCATCAGCCCAATATTCCAAGATTTCGGGGTCAATCCCCAGTCAGGTTACATACAAGAAGTAACCAATGAATGCATAATTAAGTGCAACAACAAATTAATGTTTCTCTCCCTCTCTCTCCCTTCCTGTTGTCTCTAAAATCAATTAAAAAAAAAAAAAAAAGAATAGGTAATATTTTACATATGCAATATTTATTATTTGGAATTGGCTGAAAATACTAAATTCTTCATCCCCAAATGTTTGCAAAAAAACCTTTTTTTTTTTTTTTATCCTCACTTGAGGACATTTTTCCATTTTTTTGCTCAGATAGAGATGGAGGGAGAAAGAGGAAGAGAGAGAGAGAGAAACATCCATGTGAAAGGGACACACCGAGTGGTTGCCACCCGCACGACCAACCAGGGCCGGGGACAAACTGCAACCGAGGTATGCGCCCTTAGCAGGAACTGAACCCGAGTCTCTCTGGACCGCAGACCGATGCTCTAACCGCTGAGCCAAACTGGCCAGGGCTGCAAAAAAACACTTTAGCTTAAACTACTATATGATCCAGTTATTCCATTTCTGGGTATTTATCCAAAGAAAACACAAACATTTATTCAAAGTATATGAACCCCTGTGTTCACTGCAGCACTATTTACAATATCCAAGAAATGGAAACAACCTAAGAGTCCTTTGTCAGATGAACAGATAAAGAAGATGAGATATATACAGTGGAATACTACTCAGCCATTAAAAAAAAAAGAATGAAATGTTGACATTTGAGACTACATGGATGGGCCTTGAGGAAATTATGTTAAGTGAAATAAATCAGAGAAAAATAACATGATTTCATTCAAATGTGAAATACAAAAAAAAAGAAACAAACAAAACCAACTCATAGATACAGAGAACAGATCGGTGGTTACCAGAGGAAAAGGGGGTTGGTGAAGGGTGGGTGAAATGGATAAAGGGGATTAATACTATGGTGATGGATGGAAACTAGACTTTTGGTGATGATCTCGTTGTAATATATATCGATGTTGAATTATAAAGTTGTACATCTGAAACTTATACAACGTTAAAAACCAATGTTACCTCAATTTAAAAACAAGAAAAGAGAAAGGAAGGGAGGAGGCCAGGCCAGGGAAAGAATGGGGTGGGACGTTATCTTTAAAAGGGAAAATGCAGGAGGACAGTTGGGGGGGGGGGTGCATTTGGCAGCTAGTGTGTATGTATGGGGAGGTAGGTTTGGAACCTGGTCTTTGAGTCTGCCTGTGACTCAAGATAAACTGGGGCGGGGCGTCGTGGGTGCACCTTTGTCGCGACCTGTGCACCTGGAACGTGTGGGTTCTCAGAGGCCAGCACACGAGGTTAACGATCAACACTGAGCGCTCTATTTGCTGAATAAAAGAACGAACAACAGGGAGTGTCGCGACCCGCAGTTACGTCGTATCACGACAAAAGTTTAGCGCAGCGTCTCCTCGTAACTTCCCCAAATCCAAACCGCCCCCGGTACCTTCGTTGCAGTACTGAGGTTGCAACTCGGAAGAAAAGACAGAAGGATTCGGACCTTGACAGGCGGGGACTGGAACTAATGAAAAAGGCAAGATGTGAATGCTGCAGCCAATAATAGAGGCAGGAAGAGTGACGTCAACGGAAGTCTGCGGGATGGTCGCGGAAGTGCGGTAGACCCCGATCCTAAGCCGTTCTCCCGTGCGAGTGAGACTAGAAGGCGAAAATGTCGGAGCGGAAAGTTTTAAACAAATACTATCCCCCCGACTTTGACCCGTCAAAGATCCCCAAGCTCAAGCTCCCCAAAGACCGGCAGTACGTGGTGCGGTTGATGGCCCCCTTCAATATGAGGTGTAAGACATGCGGAGAATACATCTACAAGGGTAAGAAGTTCAACGCGCGCAAAGAGACGGTGCAGAACGAGGTCTACCTGGGCCTGCCCATTTTCCGTTTCTATATCAAGTGCACGCGCTGCCTGGCAGAGATCACCTTCAAGACAGACCCCGAAAACACAGACTACACTATGGAGCACGGAGCCACGCGGAACTTCCAGGCCGAGAAGCTCCTGGAGGAGGAGGAGAAGAGAGTGCAGAAGGAGCGGGAAGATGAGGAGCTGAACAACCCTATGAAGGTGCTGGAGAACCGAACCAAGGACTCCAAGCTGGAGATGGAGGTACTGGAGAACCTGCAGGAGCTCAAGGACTTGAACCAGCGGCAGGCCCACGTAGACTTTGAGGCCATGCTGCGGCAGCACCGCCTGTCCGAGGAGGAGCGACTGAAGCAGGAGCAGGAGGATGATGAGAGGGAGACGGCAGCCTTGGTGGAAGAAGCCAGGAAACGAAGACTGCTGGAGGACTCTGATTCGGAAGAGGATGCTGCTGCTCCTGCCCCGCCCCAGCCGGCCCTCCTGCCCAACCCCACCGCCATCCTAGACGAGGCCCCGAAGGCGAAGAGGAGGAAGGTGGAGAGCTGGGAGCGGAGTGTGGGCACCCTTGGCAGCAGGTCCCAGCTGTCAGGCCTTGTTGTGGTGAAGAAAACAAACCTGGACTGCAGCACCCCACAGGGCCAGCCAGCACCCACCCTGGGCGCTGTGAAGAACGGAAAGGCGGCAGACCCTGCACCCAGGGCCCCCGGCACCTCCTCCCTGAGCCAGCTGGGTGCGTATTCGGATAGTGAGGACAGCAGCAGCAGCAACTGAGGCCTTTACCTAGGTCAAGGGTCATATGTCCAATTCCAGCCTGTGGTTGGGGCAGGAGGCCTTGACACCAACCAGAGAACAACCAGACAAAAATTAATGTCCTTGAGGCAGGTGGGATCAGCCAGGGTTTCAGCCAAGGGACTCAGTTTCTCTCTTGTCCCCCCAACCACCAGTTCCTTCGGTACCTGTAGGTCCAAATCTAATGGTGTCCCCCCACCTGACACCGAGTTTAGGACTGTGACACCCCTGGAGGGATGCATCCTCTCTTGGACAGCCCTTAAGGTGTTAGCCATGTTTTAGGCATGTGGGTGAACCCACCCACCCCTGGTTGGCTCCATCCCTTCCCATCACAAAATTGTCTGGAGCCAATAAAAGGAACACAAACACAGAGACTTTATTTTGGGACTGTTGCCGCCACAGGAAATAATTGAAGGCAGTTCCTATTTGAGGACACATTAAAATCCTAGAATTATGAATTATATGTATACAGTAACTACAAATGGAAGGCATATTGGCTATTTAAAAAAATTTGTTTTTCTTTATTGATTTTAGAGGGAGAGGGAGAGAGAGAGAGAAACATCAATGAGAGAGAATATCGATTGGCTGCCTTCTGCACCCCCCTACTGGGGATTTGGCCCACAAATTGGGCATGTGCCCTGACTGGGAATAGAACCGGTGACCTCTTGGTGCATGGGTCTATGCTCAACCACTGAGCCACACCTGCCGGGCATCCTCACTGTTTTTAAATCACCACAGGTAGAAGTTCATTTTTCAGATGATGGACTCCGAACTCCAGTCTATGCTGCTGAAAAAACTCTTCAGCTGACTGCCTACCCCGTTTGAACACTGGGATGCTGTAGGATGAGTGGGAAGCCACCCACCCCCATGAACTCTGCTAGCAGATTTATCACAACGGATCCTTTTTTGGACTTTTTAATATACCAAATAAGACTCAATCTGTTTTAATAAAGTGAGTTTATTAAGTGAGTGTAAAGTTGGTCCCTATATCATTGGGTTATAACGCTAATTAATGGTGTCTACGTTCTGTGGAGCTTTGTGCATCTGAGAATTCCACCAATATATATATGAAGAGAAGTTCAATTTGATCATTTCACCCTTAGTTAAAAGCACTTTTAAGGTGTGCTGTATACCAATCTGCCCTCAGCTGTTTTTCCAGATAAAAATGACCCACTATTTGAGCCTTGGTCACAGGCTAAGCATTGCTCATCAAACAGGTGACTTAGCACATGCCATCACATCTGGATGAATTGGAGAGTAAAACACCAAGAACACTTTGGTAAGTAATTCCTAACAAAATAACATGTTTTTTGCTTTGTATTCAGTTGATTTTTAGAGAGAGAGAGAGAAACAAACACACTGATTTGTTCCACTTGTTTATGCAATCATTGGTTTATTCTTGTATGTGCCCTGACCAGGGATCGAACCTGCAACTTTGGCATATTGGACGCTCTAATCAAGTGAGCTTCTGGGCCAGAACCTTTTATGTTTTTTTGGGGGGGGGAAGGGGGGGTTGGTAGTGATAGATGTTGCCCCTCCATTCTGAACTGTTGATGGGGTCAGCCTGCTTTTCTCTCCTCCCAATGTGTAGCAACACCTCCCTATACACAATCACAGTCACTATGGAATTTTAAGTTCTGTTGGCCTGAACAACCTTAATAGATGGAGGGTGCAATTTTAGAGAAAGAATGAGTACATTGGATTCCTCTTAAATTGTAAAGAGAGGAAAGCCAGCCCTTCAGGGCAGCTTAAAGATCAAGCTGGCTTTAAGCTATACACAAATGTAAATTTTGATAAAGGAAAAAGACTTGAAGGTTAACTTGGTATTGCATTCCCAACACTAAATTCTGAAGACATAAATAGACTAGCAGACAGCAGCTGGTCTGCCTTCTAGAAGAAAGCTATATAAGGGGAGGATGATGTCCAAATAAACTAGCTGCATAATGGCAGTAACCCAGGACACAAGCCATTCCACTTGTGTGCAGCCTGGTTGAGCCACTTACTAAATGTGTGACCTTGGACAAGTTATTTAACCTTTCTGTGCTTCATTCATTCAGCAGGTATTTATTTAGCAGCTACTCTGTGCCAGGCATTGTACCAAGTGCTGGGATACAACAGGGAACAAAATAGACTAAAATCCTTGTTCTTTTTGTGGAGTGTGTGTGTGGGGGGGGTGATGTTTCGGGTTGATGGTAATAATGTTTCATGATCTGGGTACTGGTGGGGTTTTTTTTTATCCTCACACAATATTTTTGCATTTATCTTCAGATAGAGCTGGAGGGAGAGAGGGGGGAAGAGAGAGAGAGAAACATCGATGTGAGAGAGACACACTGACTGGTTGCCACCCACACAACCCCAAGCGGGGCTGGGGACAAACTGCAAGGGAGGTATGTGCCCTTAGCAGGAACCCAACCTGGAATTCTGGTCTGCAGGCTGACGCCCTAACCACTGAGCCAAACCAGCCAGGGCTTGGGTGGTGTTCTTAAAATTTTATTGAGCTGTGTACATTTATGTGCACTTTTCTATATATGTGTTTCCAATATTTTAGAAAATCTATGTCCTGTGGCAATCACAGCTTTATTAAATGAGTTAAGTAAAGCATGCAGAGCTGTGTGCTTGCCACATAGCGCTCAAAGAAAGTGGCTACTATTAATCCAGTGAAACGCCTTTAATAAAGCAAACTAGGCCATCAGGGGATGTTCAAGAGATTCAGCTGGCTCTGCCACTAAGATTAGTTCCCAGAGCTCTCCCATAAACCGGTTAGGCATGGCTCGTGCCTCTGTCATGAAAAATGTGCTTTCTTTTTTAAAGATAAAAAATAAGAGAAATTCTGTTAGCACTTGCAAACTAAGTGACGTAGAGCTGCTGTCTACATTTGGATAGGTTGTGCACTGCACAAGGGCTCCATATTTAAGGGGCTGGCATTCATATCATAAACCTCATGGGTTTGTGTATTATGATTTTCTGGCCGAAATTCTGGTGATCAAGTGTTTAATTCTAACAAAATTTTTATTAAAACAACTTTCTGACAAAAGTCAAATGTGTGAAGAGCACCATTTTCTAACTTGCAAAAGGATGCTGCATGGAAATACTACCCAGGGTATTAGGACTTAGAAGTGAAGGGAGGAGTCTGCCTTCTGGGGCTGCCCTTTAAAATGAATACACAGAGGCCCAACTACTGAGACTCCACTACCTGGGCCTATGGTTCTTTTTTTTTTTTTTAATTCTCACCTGAGGACATTTTTGCATTCATCTTCAGATGGAGAGAGAGGGGAAGCGAGAGAGAAACATCGATGTGAGAGAGACACATCGACTGGTTGCCACCCACACAACCCCAACCGGGCCAGGGACAAACTGCAACTGAGGTACATGCCCTTAGCGGGAACCGAACCCTGGTCTCTCTGGTCCATGTGCCGACGCTCTAACCACTGAACAACCGGCCAGGGCCCTATGGTTCTTTAATCATTGAATTGGAATAAACTGGCCTCAGGTTTTGTCCATCAGCCTTTGTGATTCTGGATGATGGAAATCATCAACAGAGACAGATCCTCTCGGGTTCTGACAAGTCATGTTTCTGAGAATAAGACCCTGACAGTGTGACTTCATTGAAGCCCTGCTTCCTCTTAACATAAAACCCTGAGTTTCTCCTGGTGAAGTGGGTTCTAGCTGGCTTCATCTTAAGAACCATATTGTATTTGTTAAGCATGCAGGCTCCTAGGTCTCCAAACCAGCAAATCTGAGGTGGGCCCAGACATCTGTGTTTAACAAGCAATTCCAGGTGACTTTCATGTCCAGCTGAGTGTAGGGAACCCTATTCTAATAGGGTTTCTAATAAGGGCTGAAACCAGGTTAAGTTGAGCAGGCAGTTCCTTCACCTTCTGGAGAGAAAGTGGGAGGCAGTATTTAAGTTCAAAAAGGCTATATGGCCCTGGCTGGTTTGGCTCAGTGGTTAGAGCATCGGTCTGCAGACCAGAGAGAGTCCTGGGTTCGGTTCCTGCTAAGGGCACGTACCTCAGTTGTAGTTCGTCCCCAGCTCTGGTTGGGGTCGTGTGGGAAGCAACCATTCAATGTGTCCCTTTCACATCAATGTTTCTCTTTTTTCCTTTCTCTCCCTCCCACTCTGAACAACAAAAAAAGAAAAATGTCTTCCGGAGAGGATTAAACAAAACAAAAAGGCTTATATGGGCTTTTATTTGTGGTGGGGAGAGGAAAAGTAAAACCTGGGAAGCTGGATGCCCTGGCTGGTTTGGCTCAGCAGTTAGAGCTTTGGCCCGTGGACCAATGAGTCGTGGGTTCGATTCCAGTCAAGGGCATGTACCTCAGTTGCAGTTCAGTCCCCGGCTCTGTTAGGTCATGCTGAAGGCCACCAGTCGATTTGTCTCCCTCCCTCCTACTCTACCTGATGATAAATGGAAAAATATCCTCAGGTGAGGATTAAAAACAAAACCTGGGAAGCTAGCGCTTACCTTCTTTTTTTTAAAATTGATTTTAGAGAGAGTGAGGAAGTGAAAGAGAGAAAAACAGATTTGTTTTCCCACTTACTTAGCATTCATTGGTTGCTTCCTGTATTTGCCCTGACCGGGGATTGAACCTGCAACCTTGGCATATCTAAGCTACCTGGCCAGGGCAGCCTTCTGCCTTTTCTAGGCTGGGTCTGGGGAGAAGCTGCCTGCTAGGGTGCTGGTGAGTGGGCAGTATGCCTACCCTGTGGGGGCAGGGGAAGGAGAGGGCAGCCACAGGTCAAAGAGCAAAGCAGTCACAGAGCTGTCTGCCCTCTGATCTGGGCCTGGCCTGGGATTGGGCCTTTGGGCCAACACCCCAATAAGAGGATAAATCTTTAGCTCATCCTACCCTAAGGATCAATAAAGCTTTGGGGACAGACGTAAGCCAGGCACTGAAGTGCTGTGGGTTCGGGTTAGTGACAGAATGGGGGAATCAGAGGCTGGCCCCAACCCAACCCGTCATTTCTTATGCTCAAAGCTGAGGGTGGAACTTGAGTGTAGGCTGGAATCACACAGCCCCTTTAACAGGGAACAGTATCAGTCCTGGAGATGGGGCAGTGGGGGGCTAGACCGAAAAAGCATCATCCTTCAAGGACCTGTTCTAAGCCTCACTGCACAGAGGAATAACATCCTATTCTGTTCTACTCTCTATGACCTTGGCTTTGGGAAAGGAGAAGAGGGACTGAGCCCAGGCTATGAGGGGGCTCCTCAACCTCAGTTCAGACCCCAGAACCTCTTCACCAGAAGCTGAAGAATCTGGGGCACTTCAGCAGTGCATCCCCTCCTGCCGTGGCCCGGCCCCGGGAGAGCGAGGGAGTCAGTGTGGGTGCTCACGGGGGCCCTGGTGAGGGTGCAGCGCTGGCAGGACCTCCCACCATTCTCTCCTAAGAAGCAACAGCTGATTTCCTATTTTCCTTTTAAAAGAGGCTTGTTGGTGGAGGTGGGTTAAGGCCAAGAAACCAAACCAAAGAGTTCAATATGAACCACACTGCCCGTGCCAGGCGTAGGGGCACGGGGCCCTGGCAGCTGTGGGATAGCGGAAATACGGCGGCTGCACGCCAGTCGGAGCACCAGCTGTCCACTTAATAACAGTAGGACTTTGGGCATGTCACGTGACTCGAGCCTCAGTCTCCTTTTCGACAAAATGAGGTTAACAGCACCCAGTCCACAAAGCAAAGCACTTTGAATAGTGCAGTTGTCATCTCTGCTGCTACTGACCACCCTGATCCCTGCCCTTCGGACAGGTTGGGCAGGTGCCTGAACCGCACCCCTTCTCCCAGGAGCCAGCCATCCCATTCCTCCCTTGCTCCCAGAGAACATGATGTAACCAGTTGTCATTTGAGGGACTGGGGTGTCCTCCCCTTCAGGCTCCAGGGACAACAGCTAGAGCAGTGATCAATCAGGGAACAAGGTTCAAGACCAACAGGCAGGGCCTGACGGAGGTGGAATGAGGGGCAGGGGCAGGGGTTGGCGGAGTCACCAGTAAACTACACAAATGGGAAGGCCTTGCAGGAAAGAGGAGGTGGGAGGAAGGGAATGAGGGCAGCCAGGTGTTCAGGGCACAGATGAGGCCCCTCCCAGCCTGGGGAGCTCAGGGAGACCAAGGGCAGCTGAGGGGAGGGGCCAGAGCACCGGGCTGGGCCTCCCCATGCCACGTCCACCCTGTACCCTCAAACAGCCTGGGTCCCCCCACCCTCAGTCCCCAAGGTTGGAAGGTGAAGGGCTGGGAAAAGCAACAAGGACACCAGGCCCCTCTGAGGGGCTGAAGCTGACTCAGAAATCAGAATAAAAAAGGCCAAAAGGTTTTTACTCGGTGAACCCCGGAGAGGGCTAGGCAGAGCACAAGGTGTCCGCAGGAGGGTGAGAGGAGCAGCTGGGGCCTGTAGTCTTGCTTCCCCGTGGGGGCAGGAGTGAGGGGATATGAAGGCCAGGTGTGCCCTCCCCACAGGGACTCCAGTCCTGGGGCCCAGCGACACCTGCTGCTCCTGAGTTCACACTGAGGTTCTCGGCAGCCCGGGTCGCAGGGCCTGCCTGAGCCCTGCCAGGAGGGAAATGCCTGGCACCGGGAAAAGGCCGCACGGGCTCACTGCAGCTGATCCGGTGTCTTTCCCCAACAGGAAGAGGCCACGGCCGAGGCAGGTGACCCGAGGCCAGGAGAGCTGTCTTTGCCTGCCAGAGCCAGGCCACAGATTCTTCAACCTCCACGGCATGGGTCTCGGCTCAGGGGATGCTGGCTTAGGCTCAAAGCTCATCAGGGGGGCTGTGCGTGAGGGGAGATGCCTTCTGGATGCCCTCCTCCTCCTCGGGGCTGGGGTCTCCCTCAAGGCCACCCAGCTCCTTCCTCTGTTTGCTGCCGCTGCCACTGGACGCCTTGGCCCTGCTGCTCTTCTTCTTGGACTTCTTCCCCCCCAGGGCAGCTGTGTCCCCCTTCTTGCCAGACCACCGCTCTGCTAAGCAACCTGGGTGAGGAGGAGAGACACCCTCAGTGGGCTGGTCTGCTGGGTGAGGAGCACGGCCTGGGGAGCCGCTGGGAGTAGCAACTGGAATCGGTGCCTCACTTCGAAGCCCTGGTCTGCCGCCTCGCTGTGGCCCCCAGGCCGCTCCGGGGGCGTCTGAGTTCTCGGCACCTGGGTTGGTGCCTCTCACCCTGCCCAGTCACATCAAACTCCCTGAGGGCAAAGATCCTACGACACCCTCTATTTTTTATTTCTTTTCCATGGTCTCCCTCCCCACCTCTCCATGAGGGGGCGCAAACAAAATTGAGGGCCAACCCGCCCTGCCTCCCCCTCCTTCAGACTCACTGGTGTCCTTGCCCTTCAGTACGTGGTTGGCGCAGAGGAACTGAGTCAGGTCCTCCTCCTGGTGGTTTCTGTACCAGTCCTCGATCACCTCCTCAAACTCTTCCACCAGCACGTCGCACTGTTAATCACAACGCCTCGCGTTGGCAAAGCCCTGGCACTGGCTCACTTCGCGGAGCTCGGTAGAACCTCACAGCCCACCGCAAGACAGGCGGGTGGCTGGGACTCTCCTGAGCAAACTGAAGCCAGACAGGTGAGGGCCGAAGTCCCTCGACTCTTGGTGGCCTTCCTCGGCAGCAGAACCATCCCCAACCCCGGGGGGCACAGCGGCCTCTGAGAGCTGAAGGGCCCCTACCTGCTTTTTGAGGTCAGCCACCTCTGCCGAGGTCTCGTTCCACAGCTCGTAGGGGATGTCCATCACCACCTTGACCCCTTTGTGTACCAGGTTGTGTAGTGTCTCAAAAGTCTCTGACATGCCCTGGAAGAGGCAACCAGGCGTGAGAGGACGCGTCCCTTCTCTTCCTCCTGCCTCCTCTCCAGGTGGTGCTGGAGGCCCAAGGACCTAGCTCTGAGGGGCCAAGACCCTCTAAGGATTCTCACACTTGACCTCACCCTCCTTTTCCCTCTTTTAGGCCTACCTCACACACACCATCCTACCTCCCCACACCTCGTCCTTTCCAAAAGGTCTGCTGTTGCCTCAGGCCCTTTGAACATACACTCCTCTCCCAGGAAGTAAGTCCATCTTGGCTCTGCCCCAGCACTGCTGCTGGGCACACTCACTCCCCGGCAGCCAGGGCCAGTCCCTGCCTCGGGTTCTTCCTTGGGCTTGTGTCTTTCCTTGGTGGGAAGAGGGCATAGGCAAGGCAGGGAAGACTCTGTTTTATAACAAATATTTCCACCAGCTACCTAGGTTTCTCCCTAGAGCTAACAGACTATCTATACAGAGCTAACATACCCACCCAGAAAAATGCATACAAATGCAAGCAAACACACAAACAATCCTCCTCTCCTCCACCCCCACTTTTTACACAAGCAGTAATATCACACACACTATTCTGCACCTGGTCTATTTTATATAGTAATACACTTTAGAAATAATTTTAGTTCAATTCGTGAAGAGCTGCCTCATTCTTGGTTTTTTAGTTGTGTGACAGTCCACGGAAGAGCCAATCCCTGTATTGGCCATGCTCCTACTAGTGAATGGTTAGGTTGTTTCTAATTTTCTTGTTACGGAAAATAACTTTTAACGTTTTTACATTAAACCAAACATGAATTTATTACCAACTGGAGTACAAAATTCATACAAGTTTTAAAGATAAAACCTGAGACTTCTGCGGATTGCCACCAGCCCTCTAGGTTGCCCAGGGGGTACTGACTATCTTCTTTGCTGGAAGGTGACTTCGGTGAGCAACTTGCCAAGTGCTGAAGACATAGAGACAAAGAAATGTGGGTCTTTTTGTAAAAAGCTCCTTTTCCAGGGAGAAAAGTATTTTGTGCTGTCCTAAGTGCCTTTAATGTCACAGAGGCACCCTGATGGAGGCCAAGATAGGTGCCCTGTGGGCCCAGAGGAGGGACAGGGTCATCACCACTCCCTGAAAGTCTCTGACATGGCCTCTAAGCCTGACATCCTGACTTCTCCCTGCACAAGTGCTTTAGGCCCCCCTGGGGGCTGTGCCCTGGAGCATTTCTGCCTGTCAGACCGAGGCAGGACCCTGATGGGCAGGCCCCGCCATTATGAATGTGTCTATTGCCATGGAAGAGTCAGGCCACCCAGGAGAGGAGGGCAAACAGCAGTCCATGAAGAATGGGAAGAGGGAAGCTCTTAGGGCAGTATCTTCAAATCACATGCACACCGGCAGACACACTTAGCCACACGCAGGCCCGGCCCCAGCAGGGAGGAAGGACAAGCACAGTCCCACCTTGGCAAACCGGTTGCTGCCTGTCCTCTCCTTGTGCAGGCTATAGTCCAGGAGCCTCTTGCAAATGGTCTCAGTGACTTCGATTAACCGTAAGTCCCTGCCGAGACAGCAGCAAGATAGGGGCTGAGTTCCCTGCCCAGCCCCAGTGGCTCAGTAAGTAGTCCGTCCCTCCAGCCCTGCTACCCGACACCTGCGCATCTCACCAACGGGAAGTCAGGGCTGGAAGGAAGATAGGTCATCTGGTCTGGGTGCTCTGAAATGCTGGAACACAGACCAGAGAGACAAAATTTTAACAGCTCTACGGGAAGGAACTTTTTAATAAAGTTCAATGATTCAGATTTTTTTATAAAGCAAAATGTTTAAAATTTTGATGTTAAAATATTTCATTTTGAAAGGACGATCAAAAAGTTGGGAGGTTTTTTGTTGTATTTAAAAAAAAAAATTTATACCTGGCAAAATTAAAAGCTGGTAATCATATGTTACCAGTATTTTTAAAATGGCATTGGTCCATGAAATCCCAGTGTCTGGAAATCACAGTCTAGCTTTTACAGACGAACCAGAGCAGTTAAGGGATTCAGGAAGGCCACCCAATTAGTTGAGGGTAGAACCAGTGGGCAAATTGAGGTCTCAGCTAGAGCTACCTCCCTTTGGTGGGTTTGCCTGGCTCTAGAAGGGAGAAGGGAACTCCAGGTGCTGAAGCCTTGAGGAACGAAGCAGGCCAGGCCAGTGGGTCCCCATTCACTTACGACTTGGTGTATTTGACTCCGGAGGCCTTCCGGTCCAGGATGCCATAGCCTGTGTCAATGACCTCCTTGGTCTTGCCAGTTTCCTCAAAGGCTGACTTCAGCTCCACTGCGACATATTTACATACTGGGGGAGGAAGACAAAGCACAGCCCACTGAGTGCACCTGTCTGCTGGGAGCCAGCTCCCAGCCAATCAGACTCAAGTCCATCCACGTTCCAGACCGGGCGAGTCAATGCTCGGGGCAGAGGAGGAGTCAGCACCAGAGCACTGAATGGAGTTCACTGGGTAACACTTGGCTCCAAGATCAACTGCCCTGTGTCCACTCTTGGCCCTTATCCCACTGACTTCACTTCTCCCAGCTCCTTCCTGTCCCCCTGCCCCCCCCACAATCATTTTACTCCTAAAATTTTCAAACAGATAGAAAAGCTGAAAGAGTACAATGAATATACACCTTCCATACACGTTCAACAGTGGTTAATGATTCACCAACAGCTCTCTCCATGACATAAAACAATGTGATACCATATCTCAACAATTTAGAGTGGGCAAAAGTAGGTTTACAGTCATTGCAAACAAATAATACATTAATTAATAAATAATACAAGAATAAACTGTGTTTTGCAACTGTAAACCTACTTTTGCCCCCACCGGTATATATTGGTGTGTTTTTTTGGTATACATTGTTTTTGCTAAGCCATTTTGAAAGTAAGTTGCAGACATTATGATCTTTCACCCCTAAAAATGTCATCACACATCTCCTGACAACAAGGACCTTCTCCTACCTAACTGTAAAAAAATTCTGATGCTAATAATACTTAGTCCATATTCAAATTTCCCCAATTGTCCCCCAAATGTTTTTTATAACCATTTCATCACTGGATTTCATATGCTGTGCCAAACATATTCCTGCAAAGTTAATTTCCTCAGTCTTCTCCAGAGGCCTTGTTTCTACTGTTCCCATACATTTATTTCCTCATTTCCCGTTACTCTTCCTCAAATAGTTATCAACAACTCCTATGTGTCGAGCACTTCCTGGGATACAGAAATAAAAACAAGGTTCCTCCCTTCCAGATAGTCTAATGGTGCAGAAAGAAGTATAAATAATTCTCACTGCATAAGGGGTGCTACCAATTAGGTGTGAAATGCCTCAGGCTTTAGAAAAGTGCTTATTGCCTTCAAGGGTCTTTGGGGGTTTTCTGACCATTCCCCAACCTCACCATAAAAGCCTCCTCCTGCCCTGGCCAGCATGGCATGTACCTGGGTTGCAGGTTCTATCCCTAGCCCTGGTTGGGGCATGTGTGGGAGGCAACCAATCCATGTGTCTCTCTCACATTGATGTTTCTCTTTCTCTTTCTCTTTTTCCCCCTTCCTCCCTTCCACTCTTTCTAAAAATCAATTAAAAAAATATCCTTGGGTGAGAATTTTTTTTAATGACTTTTTTTTTTATCCTCACCTGAGGACATTTTTCCATTTTTTGTTCAGATAGTGTGGGAGGAAGAGAGAGAGAGAAACATTGACATGAAAGGGACACATCAAGTGGCTGCCTCCTGCACAACCCAACCAGGGCTGGGGACAAACTGCAACCGAGATACATATCCTTAGCAGGAACCAAACCCGGGTCTCTCTGGACCGCAGATCTGAAGCTCTAACCGCTGAGCCAAACTGATCAGGGCTTGGGTGAGAATTAACAACAACAACAAAAAAGCCTCCTCTGCCCTGGCCGGTTTGGCTCAAGGTTAGAGCATCGGCCTGCGGTCCAGACAGACCCGGGTTTGGTTCCCACTAAGGGCACGTACTTGGGTTGCAGTTTGTCCCTGGCCCTGGTTGGGTCTTGTGAGAGGCAGCCACTTGATGTGTCCCTTTCACGGCGATGTTTCTCTCTCTCTCTTCTTCTCTCTCCCTCCCACTCTATCTGAACAAAAAATGGAAAAATGTCCTCAGGTGAGGATAAAAAAAAAAAAAAGCCTCCTCCCCCAGGAAGCCTTTCTAGACTAATCCCACCTGCTTTTCTTTTAATCCTCACTTGAGAATATGGTTTGTTCTTTGTTTATTTTTATTTTTTTTTATTTTTAGAGAGCGGAAAGGGGAGAGAGAGAAACATTGATTGGTTGCCTCCCATACCCACCCCAACCAGGGAATCAAACCCACAATCTACGTATGTGCCCTGACCAGGAATCAAAACCACCCCCTTTTGGGGTACAGGACGATACTCCAGCTACTTGAGCCTCCTGGCCAGGGCTAATCCCACCTGCTCTTGATTTCATCCTGGACTGTGCAGGATCCGTGCTCTAAGGGCCATTTAGACTACAAGACTACCCAAATTGAGTTCATGTCCTGGATTTTTTCCTGTATTCCTGTAGTCTGGAATTCGGCATGTGTTGGATACATGATAAATATTGCTGAGGAGACTGTGTTTCTGGTTGAGCAGCTTCTGATGCCTTTGAATAGAATATGGTTTGCAGGCTACATGCCATCAGCGTTGCTATAACACTGACAGCAGAGTTTGGTAGAAAACTGATTACCACCAAAACAAATACATCCCTGGAGGCCTGCTTGGTGAAATTTTATAACAAATACATTACTAGATGGCTTGGAGGGCTTGGAACACACAAAAATTCCAAAATATAAGCTGGTGATCTCAGACTGCAATGAATCGAGGGCGTCTCATCTCCCTGGCTCTCCATCCAGGCCCATCTGGGCTCTCTCCCCTTTTCTGTCCTGTACTCTGTGCAAGGTCACATTCTTCTGGCTCCTCTGCCCCCATCTCCCTTGCTCTCAATGTGTAGTACTCCAGGCCCAGGAGGCTGGAACCCATCAACCCATCTCTCTGATACTCATCAGCCAAAACCTTGCTTCTCAACTCTTCCAAACCTTAGCATTTCAAAAGCCCCTCTAGGGATCCCACCCACCCACAACCAGACTTGGATGAGACACAGGCACAGACCCTAGACCTCATGGACACCCACCTACTCTTTTTCTGGGCAAGTTCTCCTTCTTCTGTGCCAAACCCTGTTCTACTCAGGCTACTGAGCCAGGAGGCAGGTTTTGTGGGCTAGACACAGTCAGCATTTAATAACAAAGGTGTAACAGTGACAAATAAAAGGAAATACACTATTAAGAGGAACCCAAGAGTTGGAGTTCACCAACCCATCCTATGACTGAAAATCCTTTTAAAGTAATCCTTAGCCCTGGCCAGTTTGACTCAGCAGTTAGAGCGTCGGCCCATGGACCAGAGAGCCCCGGGTTCGGTTCCTGCTAAGGGCACGTGCCTCCGCTGCAGTTTGTCCCTGGCCCCGGTCGGGGTCGTATGGATGGCAACCACTCGATGTGTCTCTTTCACATCGATGTTTCTCTCTCTCTTCCTCCTGCTCTATCTGAAGATAAATGCAAAAATGTCTTTGGGTGAGGATAAAAAAATAAAGTAATCTGTATTAGTTACGTACAAAATAAGGTTGGACTGGAATGATTTCAAAGATCCTTTGCCAGTCCTATGCTTCTATGAGTCTGTGAATGCCGCTAAGGAAAAGAAATGTGAGCTTCTTAAGCTATGAGAATAATAAGAGAAACAGTAGGGACTTTTTGGTATCAGAATAGAAAACAGAAGAGGAAGTGAAACCCCCAAAGGATGTTGGTTAGGACTAAAGGAAGAGTGAAGGGAAAGTATCACAACCCTCTGTCTATTCAAGGGAGAGGGAAAAGCTACAGGCTGGGCTGCATAATGGGAGACCCACCAGTGAGTAGGCCCATCTCTGAAGCATCTCACCTTTAATCTCTCAAAGGGAAGGACTGTGTGTTCTAAACCACCCCACCCCCACTTCCCAGGGTTTAGGGAACATCTGGCCTACTGTAGGCTTTGAATTGGGATGAAACAGATTTACAGCCAACTTTCCAGGTGGCCTGGGGTAAGGGAGGTGGGAAGGAAGGAGTAAAGGCCTGAGGAGAAATGAAGGGGAGGAAGAAAAGGTGAGCCCTTATGTTTGGGATGCTCTCTTTTCCATATTCCTAAAATCTTCCTCCCTCACGAAGTTCTCCCAGGCTTCATTCTTCTCCCAAAGTGAGCCGGTAAGTCTCAGACCCTCCTCCTTCCTCCACACACACCCACAGCCCCCGTTTATTTATATTTATTCCAAAAATATCTGAGAGACGGTCTCTGTCCTCAGAGAGCTCGCAGCTAGTGAGGGAGACAGCCAATTACACAAAGTAGGTTGCAGTGAGGGCACAAAGAGCTGAGTCTCAGGTTCTTCTTCCCCTCGGACCAGACATACGAATCTTTTCAGTTCCTCAAACTTGGCCTTTGCATTTGTGGTTTCTGAGTGGGACCCTCTCTGTACTTCTCTTCACCCGGCCAACAAGTACCTACTCTTCTGCTTCCTATACGAAGCCTTTCCTGACTTCCCTCTACGCCCAGCCTGTCCCGTCTCCCTGGGAGACTAGCTGCTCCGCCCCGCACCCCCAAACCCTGCACTTCGTCTATCACGGCATCTGCTACCCTGATAACTGCTTGTTTTTACCGATTCGTGAGCTCCAGGTGCACCGAGACCCGATCCCTCGCCCGCCCCCGTGTCCCAGCGTCCCGCTCAGGAGCCAGGACCTTCCACCCCGAGCCTTCTCCGCAAGCCCGGCCCCTCCAGCAGGAACCCCCGTGGGCCCCGCCCCCTCACCTTCGCATTTGCTGGGCAGGCGAACCCAGTCCGACTCCTCGGCTCGGGCCTGGCTCGGGCCCAGCTCCGGGGGCAGTAGCAGCAGCAGGGGGAGAAGCAGAAGCCAGCGGGTCCCAGGCCGCGGCGCGGGCCCAGGCAGTGGCTCCATGGCCCAGCGGCCCCGAGCCGGCGGGCTGCGCTTCCCCGAGTGCGCGCGCTGGGCAGCTCCTCCGCGCTGCTTCCTGGACTGCACGTGCCTCGGCGTACCCGGCCCCAGCGAACCCCCGCCCGCTCGCTCCTCCGGCCGCCTCGGCCCGCCCCGAGCCGACCAGGGCCCGCGGACGGCGCAGCCAATGGGCTTTTCGGGGTTCGCCCTCCAGCAAGTGGGAGGATGATCTTTTTTCTGTTTGGGCCAATGAGAGAGAGGATGGTGTCCTCAGTGACCAATGGTCACATCTTTTCCCACCCCTGGGAGGGGCGGGAGGACGAGGGCACAGGGGGTTTGGGGGTGGGGGAGGCAGCGGCTGGGCCAAGTCAGAGGGGGTGCGGCACGCTGGTCCCAGAAGATGTGGGAAAGGCCGTCTTCACTGCCTTCTCCGCCTCCTTTACGTCACTTCCCTCCTGGGGTCATAATGCAGGGAGCTCTTACTGAGCACCTGTTTTTATTTATTTTTTAAAATGTTTTTTAAAGAGAGAAGAACGGAGAGAGAGAGAGAAACATCGATGAGAGAGAAACATATATCGGCTGCCTCCCCTGCGACCCCCGACTAGGGATGGAGCCCGCAACCCGGGCCAGGGCAGGAATGAAACCAGGACCTGTCAGTCCATGGGAGGATGCTCCATCCACTGAGCCACACCAGCTGGGCCTGAGCACCTGTTTTTAATTTTTATTGTTGTTGTTGTTGCCAGCCACTATAGTAGGCGCTCTGGGTGAGACCAGGACAAGTCAAACAGTCCCCAGTCTTTAAACAGTTTTCTTCGTTCCCAGGGACCCTAGATTTATCCCAGTGAGAACTAGAACACATTCCTTCCTATCTGAGCCTCAGATTCCAGCTGTATGATACTAACTGACCTTTCTAGAGGCCATTCGAGGCTTGCCTGTTGCTGGAAAGTTCAAAAAGGTTAATGAAATTGAAGCTTATCCAGCAGACTAAAAAGTTCATGCATTAATTTTCTTTGTAGTGTATGCTACACTCCATCATGGGAGCCTCATTGTCTATCTGTGCAAGAACCCTTTTCAGGAAACAAAACAAAACAAAACAAAAACCTCTTTAGTGCCTGGCTCAAAGTTGATGCTCAGTGAATGTTTGTGAAATGAATAATGACCCTTAATTTATTAATAAGTGTAAGTTTGGAATTACCATCAGTGCTTTTGGCATTGGACATGCTCCTGCTTCTCTGGGATCCTGACCCTGTTCACTTCTGTCGAGTCTGTACAAGACTTCACATCAGGCCCAGCACCCCACCTTCCTGGGTTCCTGGGCTCGGTGCCCTGACCTCAGAGGTTGGGCCAGGGTGAGGAGATAGAAGAGGATCCTTGCCCCATGCCTGGCTGTGGGTTATGGAGACAGGTGAGCCTGTGAGACTGTGTCCTCCTCAGCCCCAGACCCATTGGGCAAGTCCCAGGGTCTTGCCCTCAGGAAGCCCTCTTCTTCACTGCAGCCCTCCCAGATTTCTGCCTCTTCTAAATCTGCCAAATTCCCTCCTCCCAGAGGAGACATGAATTAAAACAATTTTCATTTGCTTGTGTCATTTAAGTTCTCCTTTAATTGTCCTCAGTTTTCTGCACCTCAAATGTCCCAGTGCCTGGGTCAATCACCACCCGCAAGGGTCTCCCAGACTGACGGGGGAGGCGCAGCCTTGCCCCTTAGAACAGCCTCAGTCGAAGGGGGAGACAACCCTGCCTCCAGGAAGCCCGCGTCCGCAGGAGGAGGCAGGTCACAGACACATCCTCCAAGGCTGGAGGCCGGGATACTGAGGGCGGGTCCTGAGCCCCGGGCCCAAGCTGGGTGGGTAGAGGGCGTCCCCTCCTCCCAGACTGGGCTCCCTCTGGGATCGGGACCCGGAGGGCGGGTGTGAACCCCGCGGCCGGCCCGGGGCTGCAATACCGGCGGGGCAGACCGTCCGAGCCCTTGGCCTCTCACTGCGGCGACTGCAGTCGGTAGCGGCGGACGGCTCTCCTACCGGCCGAGGCTGCGGGCCCGTGGCCGGCGCAGGGAGCCTGGCGTCCAGCGGCCGGGTCTCCGCGGCCGGGTCCCCCCGCGCGGCGGGCGGGGCGCGGAGGCGGCTGCAGGTCAGGAGCACGTCAAACAGCAGCAGCTTGAAGAGCAGCAGCCGCAGCGCCCCCAGCCGCAGCGCCTGGCCCGGCGTCCCTGCGGAGGGAGAAGGAGCAGGCTGGGGGCCCGGAGGCCCATCCGGCCCCCCCCCCCCCCCCCCCGCTGTCGAAGGTTCACCCGAGAAAAGGGGCCTTGTCCTCTGCCCTAGCCATTCCTCCTCCATGTCGTCCGCCAAATTCGGGGGAAGTCCTTCCTGTGTCTAACCTCAACTCTTACTGGTAATAACAAATACCTGCCTAGCTTTCATTTTATTTTATTCCCCCAAAACCAGGGATGTAAACCAGGCAGGAATCAAATGCAGAGAGAAACCAGCTCAAGGTCTCTACTTGGTCAGGAAGAGAACCCGACTGGTGACCCACTGTCCCGCGGGTGGTGGAACTTTCCACCACCCAGACAATCTCCCAAGACTCCAAGAGTCTTTCAAGGCTCTGATGCTGAGACGGTTCATCTGGGCTGCCCAAGGAGAGCTTCAAGGACCCTTCTGTTAGCTCTCACCTGTGCTTCTCAACTGGTGTCCAGGAATTGGGCTGGGGTCAGAGGATATTACCCACTGGTAGACAGAGAACCAGGCTGTCCAGTGCACCAACCCAGCAAGGCGGCGTCCTCCGGGAACACCTACCAACCCTCAGTAGGACCCATCAGGCTGGAGCCCAACAGAGCCTAAGATCCTGGTCCCCAGTACTCACCCCGAAGAGGTCCCCAGAGGCAGGTCCTAGCAGAGGACGGCTCTCCTGCCAGCCAAGGAGAAGGAAGTGAGACTTGGGTTGGACCCTGCCCTCCACCCCAGTGCTATGCCCAGGTCCTGACACAGGGCAGCTGTTCATGGCATGTTGGATAAATGGGCAAATGAACCAACAGTGGGAACCCTGAGCCCATTTGCTGCAAGTCCTCCTAGGGGCCCAGATGTCCCTCACTCCCTGCTGTCCCCTGTTCTTTGTCCTGGGGAGTCTGAGGTGCCTAAGCACTTTTAGACAAGGACTCGATTTTCTCAACAGCCTTCTTTGGAAGGCAGGGTGTTTATTCAACAAGCATTCCCATTTGGAAGGTGACAAAACTAACATGATCCCAAAAGAGAAAGTAAGTCATCTAGTTATTAATAAAGTAATACTAATAACTGGCTTTGGACATATTACTTAACTTCTCTGTGCCTGTAAAATGAGGAAAATTATAGGACCTACTTCATAAATGTGAAGTCTTTAAAATAGTGCCTGGCACAGGGTAAACACTGAATAAATAAGTGACAGCAATTTATTATTTAATTATTGTTTGGTTCTAATAGGTAGGGTGTCATTTACAGGGTGATATACAGATATTAACCCTAGGTATATATAGATATTAACCCTAGGTAATGGGATATACATATATATATATCTCAATCCTAGGAGGGAGGAAGCATTATTACCTCTTAGAAGTCATGCATCAGAGCCTGGATTTGAATGAGATATCACAGTTGCAAATCCCAGGACTCAGGGCCCTGCAGTGACCCTGCTCTGAGCCCAGGCATCACCTCACCTAGATGTCAGCACTTGGAAACCCTTCATGCCCTCGTGGTCTGGGCTTGCCTTCCCTCCCACCATATCCTGGTTCCAGGGTGTGTGAAAGGGGCAGGGAGCATCCATAAGGCCCCAGGCTCCATCCCCACCTGACAGCTGTAGGGGCTGTGTGCTCTGGCTATGGTCCCCAGCCCTGGGTCCAGTGTGGCAGACCAAGGTTTCCCAGGCTGCCAGCTCCTCAGAGGTCAGGGATAGCTGAGCCAAGCTAGTCCAGGTGCCGTCTGCAGCTGGGGAAGGGCCATAGATGAAGGCATCCAGTGCACTGCCATTGCCGGCTGAGAACCAGATGGGGCTCTCAAGGCCGGGGGGTGCAACATCAAGAACCAGGCAGATCACCAGCATCTGCTGCTTCCCATCCACCAGCAGTGTGATTGGTGGGGCCAGAGAAGGGAAGGGTGTGCCGCCCACACCTGTAAGAGAGTATACACCTGTGGGGGACTAGATCTGTCTGTGCCCTCCCAGAGCAGCGTCTCATTGTAGGCTTCTATGCTTCCATCTGTCCTTTCACCATCCATCTATCCTCCTATCCTCTCAGCCGTCCCTCTCTCCTTGCATTTACCCATCTAAACACCCTTCTTCCCCTCCATCCTTTGATTCACCCATCCTTTCTTCCATCATCCACGTTTCCTACATCTATTCTCTCTACTTCCCATCTTTATGTCCATCTATCCATCCATCCATCCATCCATCCACCCACCCATTCATCCATCCATCCTTCCATCCATCCTTCCATCCATCCATCCATCCATCCATCCATCCATCCATCCATCCATCCGTCTTTTCATCACCTCTCATATCTGAACCTTTCTGTGCAAAGCACTGGGAATACAACATTAATTAAGATATTGTCCCTGCTTTCAAAGATGTCAGTCTCTTGGGAAAGACAGCAGATTCGTAAACAAACACTTATAATACCTTGTGGTGTCAGCCTCAGGAGAGTGGTTGCCTCTGAGGAGGGAGGGAAGGAAATATGATCTGGAATGAAATTAAAGGGTATTCAAATGTATCTGTAACTTTTTGTTTCTTTGAAAATCTAATTCAAATATGGCAAGATTTTAACCATTTGTTAATCTGAGTGGAAAATGCACAGGTGTTTGTTGTATTATACTAGATTCTTTTCTATAAGTCTGTAGTGGTTTATTTTAACAGTTTTGTTTAGATATAATTCATGTACCATATAAGTCACCTATTTAAAGTGTATGCCTATATTATTTCATAATTAAAAACAAAATAAAAATAAGTCACATGCAAACATCTGTCCTATATTTTTCAGAATAGTCCTAATTTTCTACAAACTTATTCTTTTCAGTTAAGATGACTCATTTAATATACAACAAAATGTTATTTTCGAATAGTTAGATATTTGTTAATATAAGTAAAATCTCAAAGGTTAAAACCTCCAAACAAATTAAAACTAAGTTAAGTGCAGCCAGGCCAAAAAATTGCCCAGGGTGCAGGGAAGGATGCCAGGGTATTTTGTGGGGATGTAGGGGTGGGGGATGCTCATGTAAGATTTCTTAAAGGTAAAATAACTGACCTGTAGCACGTGGATGGTAAGTAGCCCACTCAGGATTTGAACTCAGATCTCTGTGACTCTAAATCCGACATATCACCCCACTTGGAAGGATGACTAAGATTTTACTATGTGACACAATGGACTAAGCCTGGGATGTCGCCTCAGACACAGTTGGTTTGTCTCATTCACTTAATATACTGAGTCTCACCCTGGCCAGTTTGGCTCAGTGGTTAGAGCGTCGGCCTGCGGTCCGGAGGGACCCGGGTTCAGTTCCCGCTAAGGGCGCGTACTTCGGTTGCAGTTTGTCCCCGGCCCTGGTTGGTCGTGCGGGTGGCAGCCACTCGATGTGTCCCTTCACGTCGAAGTTTCTCTCTCTCTCCCTTCCTCTCTCTCCCTCCCACTCTATCTGTACAAAAAATGGAGAAATCTCCTCGGGTGAGGATAAAAAATAATAATAATAATAATAATAATAATAATATACTGAGTCTCAATTGTCCCATCAATATAATGGGGTTAATAACACCTGCCCCACAAAATTGTGAGGAATAAAGTTCATGAATGTAAAACACTGTGGCAGATGAGTATCAGTATTATTATCAATACTGATATTAATAAGGTATCACAAACAAAGGGAGCAGAGAAGGCTGGGGGTGAGCTGCAGGAACCACAGCCTCCTGAGCCTTTTCAGCTGTACAGACAGAGACTCTCCAAGGTTAAGTATCTCCCTCCCTCACAAACCTCCCGGGATTGCTCCTCCTCACCCTGGCGGCTTCCTTCCAGAGCTCAGCCTCCTACCATGGGCACGCCCTGCTCCATCCACATGGGTCTAGTTTACCTCCTTAGGAGGCAGAGCTGTGATGCACTGGGGCCAGCTTAACTCAAGGAGATGTCCTGATTCAAAGGTCAAGGACTCCCCCCCCCACACACACACACGCAAATACGTATGCACATGCTTTTTTTTTTCATCCTCCCCTGAGGACATTTTTGCATTTATCTTCAGATAGAGCAGGAGGGAGAAAGGGAGGTAGAGAGAGAAACATCAATGTGAGAGGGACACATCGAGTGGTTGCCACCCACACAACCCCAGCTGGGGCGGGGGACAAACCGCAACCGAGGTATGTGCCTTTAGCAGGAACCAAACCTGGGACTCTCTGGTCCGCGGGCTGACGCTCTAACCACTGAGCAGAACCAGCCAGGGCCGCTAGGGCCGTATGCACATGCTTCTAGATGAAGCTGGAATTCTCAAAATTCAACTCCTTTGGCTCCAGCCTTGATCTTTGGAAGACTGGAGCTAAATACACCAGGGAAGTAACTGGGGCCTTGGGACTTCTTCTGAGAGCCCATTGAGAAGGGGGAGCTGGGAGTGAACACGAGACACTCTGAGCCATGTTGGAATAGGGCGCCCTGAGGTAGGAGACCTGGACAGGCAAAGTCCTCACCATGTTACCCGTGTCCCATCACCCCATATTACATACTACAGCCCTGGCTACCCCACCCCAACCCCTGTGGACACCAGCCAGCTTGCTTCGTTCCTCTATACCTCCAAGAGGTGGCTGCTCTCCCTCCCAACACTGTGGGCTCCAGGGGACCAGGACTTGGACCCAGAGCAAGGGAGCTGGGAGGTAGAGTCCATGGGAGGGGAAGGTGGGCTTCTGATGAGATCCTCCCAGGGGGCCCAAATGCCTGTGTTTTGCCTCTCGCCTCTCACCCACCCCCGGGGGCCCAGAGGGAGAGTGGTTTGGGGCAGGCTAAAGGGGCACAGAGAGGGAAGCAGGGTGGGGACTCACCTGTGGGCAGGGCCGGACACCCGAGGGCCAAGAGAAGCAGCAGCCACGTCCCGGCCATGGCCCAGCTGAGAGGAGGCAGGACACAGCTGCAGACCTGAGGTGTGGGCTGGGGAGCAGGCACCCACAAGACTGCCTCCCAGGCCACAGGCCCAGCTGCACCTCAGCTGCTCCACCACGGAGCCGTTTCCCTCGTGAGGGGCCCCGCCCACTCCACTCTGGCTCCCAAACCCGATCCTTTGTCTTGGGACCAAGGACTCAGGGGGCCACGCCCACAGCAGGAGCTGGGTGCCCACACTCCTCCCGTCTGAAGAGCACCTCACAGTCACTGGCCCTGCCGTCCATCCACAGGCTACAGAGCACGAGGCGGTATGGCAAGGGCTCAATGCACAGCGTTTCAGTCCACCCATAACCGCGGGGGCTCCATCTCACAGGTGAGGCGAGAGGCTCCGAGAGATCGAGTGGCCTGCCCAAGGCCACGCAGCTGGCAGGCAGCAGAGGTAGGGCTTGAACTGTTTCCTGATAGCTGCTCTTACTGTACCCAAAACGCCCGATAAACTTATTTCCGTGTGGTTACACTGCCCCTTTAAATAGAATTAGTTTTTTTAGAGCAGTTTCAAGTTCACAGCAAAAGTGAACAGAAGGTTCAAAGATTTCCCATATATTCCCTGCACTGTCACATAAAACCCCCTTTAAAGAAAACCAACTTGTCCTGGCCAGTTTAGCTCAGTGGTTAGAGCATCGGCCCACAGACCAAAGAGTTGTGGGTTTGATTCTGGTCAAGGACACGTACCTCGGTTGCAATTTGGTCCCTGGTCCTGGTCGGGGTCATGTGGGAGGCAACCAATCGATGTGTCTCTCTCACATCAATCTTTCTCTCTCTCTCTCTCCCTCCCTCCCACTCTGTCTGAAAATAAATGGGAAAATATCCTTGGATGACGATTTTAAAAAATTAATTAATTTAAAAAACCCAACTTTTTATAAATGCCATTTTTCGTGACTCCACTAAATTTTAGCTAGGTGCCATTTGCACCCTGAAACTTCCCATCTAGGTGTATACACTAATGCAATAGTAAGAGAGTCGTTGTAAGAAAAGGGTTTATGCACACAAATGTTCTGTGAGGTCTTACACCTACAAGACAATAACAGTAGGAAACAACCTAATTGTCAGTGCTAGGGAGAGGGTTAAATGCATTCATGTGGTGCGTTGTGTTAGTGAACATTACGCAGCAGATCTCCAAGTGATGTTTTTAAGGAATGTTCAATGACACGGGGTACAGACCAGGGTTCGGTTCCGAGAGTGGGCTGTGAAGGCAGAAGGCCAGGTTTTCAAGCCCGACTAGGTCATTCAGGAGTGTGTGACTTCCATGAATTTCTTCCTTCCCTAATTCTCGATTTCCTCAGGGACAGGGAGAATCATAACACCACAACAGGGTCCTGTGATACGGAAACAAGGTAAACCACGAAGCAGGGTCAGCACCATGCTTTATGCAGCTAATCTTTGAATAATGTAGTTTTATTTAATGTTTTTTCCTTATAACATTGAAGGGGAAAGAAAATCGATGCCTGGCGGGGCCGCTGTCTGCGTGGAGTTTGCAGGCTCTCCCCACCTCTCCCTGGGTTTTCTCCAGGGACTCCGTTTCCTCGCAGACAAAGATGAGGGGAATTAGGTGTCTGCATTGTCCCACTCTGAGTGAGGTGGCTGTGTGAGATGTGCCCTGTGACAGAAGAGCATCCTGTCGAGGGTGGGTGCCCTCCTGGTGCCCTGGGCCACTGGGATGGGCTCCGGCCACCTGTGACCCTGAACTGGAATGAGCACGTTGGAAATTAATTATCTTATTTGTTTTTATTAATCTTTTAAAAATGTATGCATAGTTCGCATTTATTTCTATGTTTAATATTAGAAGTGTTTTGTGTCTTAAAAGTTTCGTGATGTTTTTGTGACCAGAAATATGTTGTAAGAACATAACTCTTGTTTATATCAATTAGCCTGTGGTAAAAATTAGTTTCCTTATACATCTTTTTGCTTAAAGTCATAGTTTCCAAGAACCAATTGACGTTGAAGACTTACTGGTCATAGGAAGAAGTCATAAATGTTCTCTCTTTCATTTTTAAAAAATTCTCACTGAGGACATGCTTAGAGAGAGGAAGGGAGAGAGACAGAAACATCGATTGGTTGCCTTCCATGTCTCTCGACCAGATATCAAACCCACAACTCAGGTATGTGCCCTGACCAGGAATTGAACCCACCTCCTTTTGGTGTACAGGAGGATACTCCAACTCCGGGGCTGTTCTCTCTTTCTTTCTATGTATGTGTATATACATAGTTACATACACAGAAAGTTTAGACAAACAGGATACAAATCTAAGTAGAAACTATCACCTGAGGGCATTTTTTTTTTTTTTTTGCATTCATCTTCAGACAGAGCGGGAGGGAGAGAGGGAGGAAGACAGAGAGAGAAACATCAATGTGAGAGAGACACATCGAGTGGTTGCCACCCACACGACCTCAACCAGGGCCGGGGACAAACTGCAACCCATCTGAACCATTTTTAAGTGCACAGTTGAGTGTATTAAGTACATTCACCTTATTGTGCAACCATCACCATATCCAGCTCCAGAAATCTTCTCATCTTACAAAACTGAAACTCTGTCCTCACTGAACACTCTACCTCTTCATTCCTTCTTCCCCCAGCCCCTGGCAACTGGCATTCTACTTTCTGTTTCTGTGAATTTGACGACCTCATGAAAGTGGAATTATACAGAATTTGTCTTTTTGTGCCTGGCTTATTTCACTTAGCATAATGTCCTCAAGGGTCATTATCTATGTTGTAGCATGTGTCGGAATTTCCTTCCTTTTTTAATACTGAATAATATGCCATTGTGTGTACATACTACATTTTGCTTCTTATCTATTCATCTCTCAATGGACATTCCTCAGTGGTTGCGACCCTGCTTTCCATTCTTTGTGTATATACCCACAAGTGGAATTGCTAGATCATTTGGTAATTTTATTTTTAATTTTAATGTGATCACGGCCACCCTAATGGTTTCAATTTGCATTTCCCTAATCATTGGTGCAGCACCAGGCCTCTGCATTTTAAAGCTCCCTGACACATCTGCTATACTAATTTATACTCCACCACCATGAAAGGCCCATCTCATCCCCGTCAGCAGATGGCATTTCTTGAAAAAATAAAAAATCCCAATTTAATCAGTTAAAAAGAGTCTCTCACTTCTCTGATCACAACACTATTTCCCCACTTAATTGTTTCCTTCATTATATTGTCTGTTTATGATCCTGTAGTCCCTGTCTTTGTAAGAGCTTTCATGTGTTAAAGATACCAACCCTTGCCCGGCTGGTGTGGCTCAGTGGTTGAGCTTCGACCCATGAACCAAGAGGTTGCCGATTCGATTCCTGGTCAGGGCACATGCCCAGGTTGTGGGCCAAATCCCCAGTGGGGGGCCTGCAGGAGGCGGCCAATCGATGTTCTCTCTCATCAATGTTTCTATCTCTCTCTCCTTCTCTTTTCCTCTCTCTCTAAAATTAATAAAGAAAAATAAAATAAAGATACCAACACTTGGCCCTGGCCAGTATGGCTCAGTTCATCAAGCATCGTCTCATGCACCAAAGGTCACTGGTTGGATTCGGGGCCAGGCCACACACCTGGGTTTCCAGGGTTCCATCCTCAGTGGGGGGCATGCAGGAGGCAGTCAATTTCCCGTGGATGTTTCTCTCTCTCTCCCTTCTTCTCTCTCTAAAATCAATAAAAACATATTTAAAAGAAAAGATACCAACCTTTTGTATATTGCCTTGGCTGGACCATTTCCCAATTCACTGTCTACTTTTCATTTCACTTTGTTTTTTAAACCTGCATTTTTTTGTTTTGTATGAACCAACATATTCACCTTCCCTATTGGGATTTAGCTCATGCCTTTTAAGCCTAGAAAATCCTCTTCCCTCTAGAGAACCAATATAGTCTCACTTCTTCTTTTTATATGTAATTGATTTTAGAGAGAAAAGACAGGAGAGAAACATCCATCTGTTGTTCCACTAATTCATGCACCCACTGGTTGTTTCTTGTATGTGCACTGACCAGGGATCCAATCACAACCTTGACGCATCAGGACCACCTCTTACCAACCGAGCCACCAGCCAGGGCGCAGTCACTTCTGTTGCCCTTTGTGCCTGTGTAGTTTAATCCCTGTTCTTGGCACCCCCCCCCCCGCCCCCATTTAACTCCATCAGGAATTATTTTTGGTGTATGATAGGAGATAGGCACCTATTTTTTTTCCCCAAAAAAGAGCTTACCAATTATCCCAGGATTATTAATTGAATAATCCTTCCTGTCCCCATTATTTGGGAAATGTTTTTTATTACGTTAACGTCTTTTATGTTGACGGGTTTATGTCTTTCCGGCTCTGATTTATTTCGGTGCCAGCTTCACCCCATTTCCCTTTGATTACTTTAATAATCCCTCGCTAATGTCCTGAGGGAACCCCCTCCAGCCGGGGCTTCACTGCCGCCCCTTCCCCGCAGGGCAGCCTGGAAGCCTGGGGCGCCACGTGTTCCCAGGCGCGGCCGCGCGCAGGTGCGCAGTCACCGCGGGTTCCCGCCGGGAGGGGGAGGGAGGGAGGCAGGTGTCCCTAACGACTCTCCCGCCTTCCAGCCTGGGGGGGTGCTGGCCCCGGCCCCGTTACCACATTACAGATGGGGAAGAGCCTTCTGGCCTCTTTTGGGTTTCAAGACCTTCCCAGGGAGAAGGTGGAGACCCCACTGCTCGCTGGGCCACCTCGCGCCCTGCAGCTACCCAGCCGCTGGCCCACTCCAGCCCCCGGCACAGGTGTGCTGGGAGCTTTCTTCGTCTGCTCCCACGCGGCTTCCCTCCCTCCGTCTGGTCCTGGTCCTAAAGATACCCTTGCCCAGGGCAGTGAGGATGCCGTGATACGGTGGCCTGAGATCCCCAAGCTGAATCCCTTCGCTGAGCTCGGGCTGAACCTGCCACTTGCGACCCGCTACCCGCTACCAAGAGCCAGGCCTGCTCACAGACACCCATTTAA